GACTGGACAGGTCCAGGCTGCGGAGGACAGGACAGGAGATGGTGTAGACCTTTGGCTCTTCCATGTGTGGTTTTATTCAGTCCACCTTGAGCAGCTGATCCAAATCATTGCAACAAGCAAAGATGTGAGGTTGCTGCTGTTTGCTGCCAGCAGATTGCCCGTTTTGCTCGGCAAGTCTTCCTTGCTAGAGAAGAAAAGCAAAGGTGAGAGTGTTAGAGGGAAATGGGGACGTTGCTGGCAGATCGAGGTTTGTTCGGGGCTGCGGAGAGCTGTCCAGGTAACGCTGTCCTTTGGCTCAAGAGTTTGGTGGGTGTTTAAGGTCAAAGAAAGATGGGTCCTTCACGAGGACGCTTGAGGTGTGGAATTTGCCTGCTTCAGATGGCACTGCCTGTGACAGCTAGCTGTCCAGGGAGGATGCCCAAGACCTTGTCGCCTTATCCTTAAATAACAGAAACGCTGCCTGCTTTCAGTGCTTCCTGGCCATTTATATTTTCATAGGGCAGAAGCTGGGATCATCCTTAAGGATATTTTTCAGTTTTTTTGGAAACAAGTCTTTGCTGTATAAAAACCTTCCTTGCTGTTATTTGTAGTAGGAAAAACATATATGCCATTGAAGTAGGGAGAGAGGCGTGGGATATTTGCTTTCCCTCGGTGCTTTCACGGCATCTTGAGTGTGTGCTGGGTCCTCAGATGCTGAAGCCCTACAGTGGGCACAGAGCAGATGCGGTCGGGGCAGTGTCAGCCCTTGCAGGTCTGCTGGCACTGAGGGCATGTGTGTTGCTTCTGTAAATTCAATGATCCTTTAAACCCACCATGGTTTGAGTAGCAAACAACTTCCCAGAGGTATAATTTTTCCTGTAAGTTTTACAGGAGCCCCCAAACTGAAAGCAGAGGTCCCTTGCCTGGGGGCCACAGCAAGATTAACTCAACTGCCCAGCCTCCCCACTAAAAACAGGAAAAGAATTAGAGGGCTTTCTATTTGTGACCCTGGATCTGTCACTCGCCACAGCAGACAGGAAAGTTGCCCTCGTGGTATTTTGCACGGCACGTCCTAATTCCCCCTCTAAGCAGAGGGCTTGAGTCATTGCTTTTTAATAAGACTGCCTCCCCACGGGCGGAAGCTGCAGCGATCAATGCGGCTTACTCAGTTCTCGAAAAGGTCATTAAAAGACCATAGATATAAATTTAAAAGAGTGTTTGTTCACATCCTTAATGTTAAAGATGTTCTTCTCTCTCACTTCCTTAAGTAGCATCGTACGAAGCTGCCGCGCGTCGGACCTGCCTGTCAGCAGAGTGGAAAGAGCATGTTATCGCTGTTAGTGTGCCATCAGCTCCGAGGGAAGGCGGGAGAGAAAATAAATGGTCAAAAATCACACTTTTATCACCACTTGGAGCAGAGCTTGTCTTGCTGACATCTCCAGATACAGTCTGTAATATTGACCTTGGTGCCCTATAACTACATAGGAGAGAATAAATTCTTTTTTTGGATTTTTTTTTCCCCTTCATTCCTGCATTCCTTCCTCCCTCCCTCACTATGGTACTGGATTACTGCCTGAAGTATTGCACGTCTCATCCCTTTAGCAGCTATATTTTTCCGAAATGTGGGTACTGTGAAGGAATGCTAAAACTCTCAGTTGCTGCCGATATGATATATTTAACAGTTCAGGCGGATATAAGTATCTCAGGTTCCAGTTGTTGAGACGTGAAATACCACATCCAGCTCAATCAGGTTTTTGCCACTGGTTGCATCAGGCCGGGATGAGCTGAAAGCACAGTGGCTTGAGTTTTGAGTTTCTAAGGTGGCTTTCTGGTGCTCCAGTCCAGGCACATCTCCAGCTATGATTGCGTGATGCTGGAGGGCACCTCTGGAGCAACATGCTCCCATTTCTGATCTCTTCTGGGCATGGCCGGTTTGTTGGTGCTGCCCTGCGTGTGACAGCCTGGGGCTTCTCTGCCATCCCCAGCATGGGGAAGGTTGTGAAACTCCAGGTTGTTCTCAACTGGGCTGTCTGAAACGGGAGCTGGGATGAGGATGGGGTATCATGAGCGTGTGGGTCTGGAGAGCTGGCTCCCAGTCCTGCCATTGCTTTACAGGGACCATATATCTCTGGGCATTTGTCTTCCCTTTCTCTGAATTTTAACCTAAGTCAAGGATATTACGTTCATAGCTCATGGGGTATCATGAGCATAAATAACTTAACAGCTATTTTGTACCCAAACTGTGTAGAAGGGAAGCCAGGCTGTGCAAATACCTAAATGTATGTGTTAAGGAGTCAGATATTTTGTTCCTCTTCTATTTTGGAGAAGAAATGGCCTTTTTTTGTGTGTCACTAAACTATAAGTATCATTTGCGTGTCACGACATAACATTTTTCCAAAGCTTTCAATTTCTGAGCAGCAGGATGCCGTTGGAAATCTCCCCTCCCCAGAGTGTACCAGGTGACAGGATTAGACCAAAGCCCACTGCCACAAAGCCAGCAGTCCCTCTTCTCCGGTGTCCACAGCATCCTCTCCCCATACAAAGTTTTTCATTCACGATCCATACAATTAAATATGCCAGAGTTCTCCCCACCTAATAACTTTCATTTCCAGTTTTCTGTCTTATTCACCCACATACACATTCATCTCCAGTCACCTAATAATTCATAAACACCATATTCTCTCCTGTGCTTAATTTGGTACTATGTTTTCTTCCATTATGTTCTGCCAACTTCCCGCCCTGTACATAAACAAATGTGAACTTTTTCTGTTTTCCGTTTGCTTACATGTACACACAAGCTTACACAAACACTCCTACGTACTCAAACACGCTTGCGGAGGCACACTTTCTGCTGTTAGCCGGATGCCTGCCCCTCACCTATGGCTATCAGTGGAAATCATACAGAAAGATCAGAATCCCAAAACTACTGTTTTGCACTCACACGTGTGATCTCAGCACATCAGAAAGCAGCACGGATTGATTTATTTTGTAGCTGTTATAACTGCCCGAACTGTTAATTTGTTAACATTGTAAGAATTGAACCTTTTTTGTGGTTAGCAGATCCCTAGTGACAACATCCACATTTCTGCAAATATATTTGTTAATGTTAAATATTTTACAAATGGTTTGAGAAAGAACTTGAGAAATAACTGCTCTTTAATAATCAAAGCTTGCTTCTACTTTCATTTCATCAATATATATCAGAAACTTCCCGTCTTAATAAGTGAATTTGTCTGGGAGTGAAATCTAGTGGAAACCCTCAGTATTATACATTAGTGCGTGTTTGGCCACTTAAATTATTTCCTATAATTTTTTTTTTTCTTCAAAACGGTTGTTTTAAACAGATCCCAAGGGCAGAAGTTTGAAATTTTTCACTTTGAATAAATGCTCATACCAATATCTGGGTAGATGTCTCCCCAATCTGTAGGTGAATTAAGATAGTGTTTGTGCTACCTGAATCCTCAAATTTAGCTAATAGGAGGTACAGACTATTGCCAGGAGGAATCAGGTGAAGAAGCAATGCAAAGGCTGGTTGGGTTGGGTTCTTATTCCACTGAGTTTCACTCCCTGTTTCAAGTGTGGTAACAATCAAATCCCAGGGCTGTTCGCATGCAGTTCTTTCAATGACAGTTATTTTGCAGGCATAGCCTTGTGAGAAACAGCTTTGTTGTAAAATATAATGTGTGATACTGGAGTTTAAGTCATGCTTGTTAATTTAATGAATGTTGTAAGGAGATACTTATTTCACGAACTTGAAGATTTCAGTAGCTACAGTCCATTGGTACCTGCTTCAGTGGCTTTGTTGCTCTGTGTAGTAGATACATCTCTCCGTAGTACACACTTCATTAATACATGCTTTTTGACCAAGTTCCTGTGACAAAAAGACATGTATATTACTGTCAGTAATTGGGGCAATATGAGCAAGTAAGTAGAGGACTGGTGAGGGTTAGGACGGAGCTAGGCTGCGTTATGGGCTCTGCAATTAGCCTGATTGATGACTCGGAGCAAATCATTTTGCCTTTGCCACTCCGTGGCTTTACAAATCAGCACAATGAGGATAATGGTAATGAGTTTCTTTGTGGAACATTTTGAGTTCTGATAATGTAAAAGACATTGTAGAAGAGCTAAACATTTATATTAGACTCTTTATTATTTCTGTATTGCATATAAAAAATTATTCCTCATTTACAGATGCATGGATTTAGGTAATTATGGCTTTGCATAAATATGTAGCAGTTTGCTAGTTCTTTCTGTGAATATTTTGATGCTAATACTGTGATGCAGTGCTGTGGATCCTTTTTTTGTGCCCTCCTTTTTAACTCTGTTGTTTTAATACCTGTATGCAAAGCAGATAACTTCTTTGTCTATCACTGAAACATCTCCAGTCCGATTCTGCCCTAAATCAATAGGCAGATTCCCACTGCTCCAGCTGCCATTGGATTGAGCTCAGGGCTGTTGAGCAAGTAATCAGTGTTTGCGGGGTATTTTAAGCTCCTGAAATGAACTGTGCCACAAACGTGCAGGTAACGCTGTCCCTGCCGTGGAGAGATGGGAGCAGAAGTGCTCGGAGGTGAAGCGGAGGGCTGGTTTCTCAAATGCTGCAGTACTATCGACTGTCGGTGATGCTCTCACCGATTCCCCCTGCACGTGGTGAGGACTGATACGCTGCCACGATGTCAGTGCAATGCCATCTCTACAGGGGGTAGAGATGTAAACAGCAACACACTGAACTGCATGATTTTCATCAGCAAATAGTTTAGCTGTCAAATAGTCAAGAGTTGCACCTATTTCAGAGCTGTGCATAAATTAAGCATGGACATAGGTAGCGCTGATTGTGCTCACAAGATAAAGACACCCAACCGAAAATTAATCCCATCAAAATGAGGTAGGAATATTCTGAGGACCTGGTTGAACTAAAACTTGCTTTTTTGGCAGCCAACCCCCATTTCAGTACCTCCTTCTCTGCCCTTTGCTGCTGCCTTTGTTGTACCGGTCGCTTAATATTTCCTTTTGTCTTGCAGGGAATTGAGCGATAGGACCACATACACATACCAAGTTGTCATTGTTTCTGGGACGGAGGAGAGCGAGCCTTCCCCCGCGCTTGTGTATATCTCTGGAAGTGGATACTGTGGAGACGGGATTATCCAAATGTAAGTCTGGAGTGAGCAAACAGATAAATCTGGGCACATCTACTCTGCCAGAATCTGAGACTAGAAAGGAATTGATGACCTCTGATGTCTCCTTAGTTTAGGCCGGCTCTCATCTGTAGATAATGACTCATGTGCTTGATGATTACCAGGATGATGACATTTAATTGGAACTTAGGCCCTGCTATCCTGGCACCAGTAGATACAGACAGAGATACAGATAATGGAGTCCAGACAGCAGGATCGATATGAAAGTACGCTATATGCTGTTTATGCTGTTTGTTCGTGTATCCATATCTCTGTACATGTATATGACATTTCCTATTTGGAACTGAAGTGCTGGAAAAATTCACACAGCCTTTGCTGCTGTCCTTACACATGAAGTCCCACGTGCCTGGCAGCTGGTGGACAGGGTAAAACCCCTGCCACGTGGTGGGCCAGGTTCCTGGTGCAACCTCTTCTTTGACCAACCACCACCGGGGCTGGGACGCGTTCGGAGGTGATAGATTTGGGCTCTGAGGGTGAGTGCTGGGGATTACATGTCCTCAGTCAGCTCCTCCCTCTCACCAGCTGCCAATCCCCAGACCACTGAAAATGTAAAACAATCATTCACAACAACTCTGTTAGGGTTGATTCTTTTGCTATGTTGGCCCTTAAGGCCACCTGCTTCAAAGCTTCCTGGCATTAGATAATTTAATTATTTAAACGATGGAAGTGACAACAAGCAAGTGCTTAATCCAGCCAGTGTTATTTTCTTGAAATAACGCTGAGCAGCAATCATGTCAGATGATATACATGGCAGCAAGTATTTGCAGGATGAGGCCCAACAGGCAGGGAAATCGAAGAGAACAATCAAACAACATACGAATCCAGGGCAGTCTTGGAGAGAGAGGTGGAGAAAGACAGATTAATTTTGCTTTCCATAACTTTTCTCCTACTGTTATGTTTGCACATTCCTCAAACATCACTTGCGGCTTTGCAGCAAGCGTCGAACAATAGCTGAGCTGCCTCAGGAGCGAGCAGGAACCAGAGTGTGTCACAGCTTGGTTGGTTGTGGCCCCACTTGCAGCTGTGGCAGCCCCTTTCTCATCTGGTTTGCGCTTTTCTCCCCACACACTGCTGCAACCATGCAGGCTGGCGCAAGGCAGGACCCCGTCCCCACCTGCTCCCTGTCGACTGCTCTCCGAGTGCTGTCACCTGGAATAGCCCAGCACCAGGCTTTATGCCTTGTTATTCCCATGCCGGGGTCACAGTCTGGCCCTTCCAGATTTAATACAAAGAGTTTCAGAGATTCCTGTTCTCTTTTTCCCCACCTGCTGAGTTGCAGCCACACCAGCTATGAAGGAAGTTGCTCATATCCTCATCAGAGAACAGCAAGTGGTATCCACATGTGCAGGAGAGAAGTGGCCAGGCAAGCTTGTGAACCAGGAATGATGAAAGTCAGGGCTGGAGGAGAAAGGGAGAGGTATTTTAAGGGTCGGCACACAAAGTCGCTGTACTGGATTTCAGGGCTTTGGGGTTCTGCAGAGGGGTCTCAGCAATCATTGGGATAATGCCATTTGCCATCTGATTCCTTTTTGCATGTGTGTGCCCTGCCTACAGAGACTTGGGGGAAGAATGCGATGATATGAATAAGATCAACGGTGATGGCTGCTCCCTATTCTGCCTGCAGGAGTTATCCTTTAATTGCATTGGTAAGTCTGTCTCAGAGCCCTTCCACTCACAGTGGGCAACAACTCCACGCAGACTGCAAGGAAAAAATCAACAGTATTTTCAGCATTTCCAGCTGAAGAGTTGTTGTGGAAGAGAGAAAAAAAGGTGGAATTTGTAGGTTTGAAAGGCGAACATATCTTCCCAGCTTCTGGTCATTTTGATGAGAAATTGGTTCTGCTGGCTTTGAAACAGCCTGGGACTTAAGGCTAAGTCAGCCATTGTGGGACTGATCCAAAGCCCATTGAAGTCAGTGGGTGGTTTTCCACCGGCTTCAATAGGCTTTAGATCTGGCTACGTGAGAAGACATGAACTGATTTTTTCTGGTAAACAGGAGGAGGAGTGAAAGGGGAAGGGGCTGAGACCAGAAGCAAGTCCAGCTGAGGTCACACCTCCTTTGAGTTGCAAATCAGTATCTGAGGATCAAAGGTCTAGCTAATCCCCTTTTTCAGAGGTGAAAACTACTTAATCAGATTTCATTTGCAAGCCTGGTTTGCTCTGATTAGCAAAACCTGTAAGCACAATGGCCGGAAGATGCTCGAGCTATCGGGGATAGCAGGGCTGCAGTTGTGAGCTTTACATATTTATTAAACTCTCTAGGAATGCTGGAGGTAGAGAAGGGAAATGGAGACTGATTTACCCTGCACTTTCTGTGGGGTAGCCCTGCGTTGTGGGGTTGCTTTTCCCAACCAGGGCTTGGTGAGGCCTGGGGAAGGATGAAACATGCAGAGCTTCTGAAACCAGTTACTGTTTATAAAGGGTTGGCTTTTGGTCAAGACATTTTATGAGATTCCTTATCTGGACTGACCAAGGAAATACTCTGCCCCATCTAGTGATCCTTTGCCTTCAGCTCAGGGCATCAGTCCTAAGCAGATAATATAATGTTGGCAAGACTGAAGTTTGGTCTTTTTGGCAATCTTGACGATTATCTCTTTGCGTGGAGCAACATATGAAGGACCTCACAGGCACCATGTTTCCCTTGGGTGGTAAGCTGGGGACTGCTTGTCTCATCATAACAGCTACATTTTTACTTCAGCATCCCACGCTGTGCGACTTGAGGCCCAATTTGGTGATGTACTTATTTACATATTTACATATGTAAATAGCTATATTGAAATCTATTTATGGTGGAGGCTAATTGTGACTATTGGTGGTCTTGAAGTTACATTTGTGTTTCAAGTAACTTGCTGCATTAGAGCCTCAAGCACTGAAAGAAATTAGTCATAATATTTTGAAAGTGAGATAAACACTTATGCGAATGTTTTGGGTTCTCCAAAAGTCAGGCATAGTGTGAGGCTGGTTCCAGCAAGGGCTTGGGTTGGAGCTGTACGGTTGGATCTATGTCACCCTGCTCAAGGTCCGAGTTCCTTGGTCCAGGTCTGTACCTTGACCACATCCCAGCATTACACTAGGACAAGACCCAGGTCCTCCAGGAAACCAGGTTGTATGAGCTGGGCAGGAGCTGCAAATAAGTCCATGGACAGGAGTAAGAGTGAGGTGTCCCAAGCCTTGGACCACTCCATGGTGTCCTGTCAGGAGAGTGCAGGAGCCTGCTTTATGCCTGTGTACACGTTCATCTCCAGGACCAGCAACAGGGCTGGTTAAGAGCGTGGAAAAAACCTGTCTGACAGCAATATGATCAGAAAATGAAGCAACTAAAACACACACACAGATTTTTCTATGCCGTTACAGAGGAAGTGATTTTTCAGATTTGGTTGAGTTGAAAAGGAAAGGGGAATTCCAGAGGTAAAAAGTTGTTTGTTTGTCACGGGCTTTGGAAGGTTGTGGGTTTGCACAGGTCCTGGTTTACAAAAGCGAATGAAATCAAATTGTTTGGGAAATACTGAATATGGGGACTCACTTAGGTGAATCAAAGTAGCTGAATCAATGGAAAGGTGCATGGAAGGAGACCTTACAAACGTTACAGTTGTGGTGATGCGACTGCTGTGGTGGTGATGGCCCCAGTGTGCCTGCAGGGTCTGCAAGGGTAGACCAGCTGGTGTTGGTTTTGGGCAAACACTGCTTTCATCGAGTCCCTAGGAAAGGTTCAGAGAAGGTCATACCTGTGAAACAGGTCCTGTTGGCTTTTATGGGTTGTGGACCACCATGAATTAGGACATCAAGAGCTAGAGCGGAACTGCTGGCTAATCTTTCAGACAAATGAACAGTGCTGATTTGTATTCTGCTTTAACATATTAAGCATTAAAATCTCACCAGAAAACATAAAATATAAACCACAATCTAATAATATCAGACTGGATCCTCTGCCTTTAGCCAAACAAAAATCTTCTTTGAGACTGGTGAGTTGTTTTCGTGGAAAATACAGAATGCTTGGGTCCCTGTTTTAGGAGCATAGAAAAAATAAGTGTAATTAATTTCCATGTTTACAAGGCTAACACATGTTATAATCCTGTAGGACAACAAATAATTATTTCAACCAGTGTTATTTTTGCAGTGATGTTCTTGTTGTATTATGTAGCTCTTTGGAGCCCCGGGAATCACTCCCCTTCACCAAAGAATTCAGTGAGCCTCAAACACATGTTCAGAGGCTTTGCTGAATTGGGGGCCTCAGGGTTTGATCTTGCAAATGCTTCCTTCCAGGCATGTTTCTGAACTACCAGAAGGCATTCTTTAGACTTCAGCAAATCTTAACCACAAGAGTGAACGCAATGAACAAACTGTCTGCAGGATTGTGTCCCGTGTGGCTGAAAATAATCACTAAACATTTTGTTTGCAAATGCAGGGCTGAAGGGGCGTCATTGGGGGGGTTTGATAGCAAAGCCAAAGTGGGCTTCCTCCTTCCAAAGCAGAGACCATGCAAGTCACCTCACTTGGTAGGACAGAAATACAGCAGAGCCTGCAAACACCATTAAGCTTTAGGTTTAGAGCCATGAATCACAGAATAATTTAGGTTTGAAGGAGTCTCTGGAGGTCTCTGGTCCAAGGAGGGCCAACTTCAAAGTTAGATCCAGCTTCAAAGTTGGAGCATGTTGCTCAAGATCATGTCCAGCTGCGTTCTGGATATGTCCAAGGATGGAGGCAGCCTGTTTACAGATGTCCCTCTGCCTCTCTTGCTCCCTTTGCCTTTTAGGATCATGAGGTTTATGGGGTTTTTTAATTGGTTCAGCTTTCCTTTGAATAAATGGCACAAGGCTCTCAAGACACTTTGCGCTAGTGCCTGTAATAAAATTAGACTACTTTTTTTTTTTTCCCCTCCTCGGTTTTGTTTTCCCTCCTCCTTTCCTCTCTAATCAGATAACAGTGGATCAATCTGCTCTGCCGTGGGAGGAGGGGCATGGGGGAAGGAAGGAGGGAGGCAGGGAAGAAAACTGTGTGGTCTTACTGTCAGGCTGTCCTGGCCTTCTCTGAACACAAAGCCGAGTAACAGAAAACAGATAAGATTAATAGCGTTTTCTTCCTGCAGCATGCTGAAGAGCGACAGTGAGATGAATTAATTAATTAATGAAAGCATCTGGCAGTACTCCTTTTTTAAGTTCTGCGGTACGCTCACCCTTCCCCATCCTGAAATTTATCATCTCTACTTTTTTTCCCCTTTGCATAGTGGATTTTGCATATTTTATCTCCTCCGGCCAGAATTTGGTCCCACGGGGAAAGTTTCACTTTGCCCTTTGATTTGTAGGAGACAAGCGAATCAAAGTCGTGTCCGCTGTGACTGATGCCCCCCTCTCCTACCTCTTGGCTGCTTTTCTTTCACCTTGCTCTTGATTATTCCCGAGATAACTGATTTTTGCGATTACTGCGGATCTCAGCCAAGTCCAAGCCGACGTGTCCTGTGTAAAACAAGCCCCAGTCGTAAGAGTTATGATTTGCCGTTGTGGGAACCCAGAGCTTTTTAGCACTTGATCCATTCCCACCGGACCATTGAGAAATGGGTGTCTAACAAGCAGCTGAGCACCTTGTCCTTGGTACGCACTCTCCCACACACCAACATTGTGCACATACATCTAGATATATGTGCGGACATTGAAAAAGAGCGCTGCTTTCATTTGCATTCCTTTTGTTGAGTGTGATGTGCATTATGCATTGATTTAGCTCACCCGTGCTGAAGAAAGAGAAGGATATAATAAAAAAGATGCAGAGATCAATAAAAAAGAAGGGAGGGGGAGAGAAAGTAATATGAAAAGAGATGAGTAAAGGCTGATAGACACATTGAAACACAGCTGGGAAGTAGCTTCAGAACTTCTATCTACCCTTAAGTTTGCCTGGTAATTTATGGGGTTTTCAGTCGCATCTTATTGGTGTTATTATTGCCACACTTTATCTCCTTTGCTTATAAGGGGCTCTTCGCTAAAGCCTTTTTACAGCAAAACAGGGCAGCGCTTCCGCAGACTTCCACGTGCGAGTGGTTCCCACTGAAGAACACGAATGTTTCAGGTTAGACACACGTCTCCGTGGTTTGTTAGATCAGGGCCTCAGGGATGGAAAGTACAAAGAAAAGGCACAGAGTAGAGGAAAAGAGAAAATAAATATATCTAGGTCTTGAGTTTACCACCAAATTCTGGCGCGCTTAAAGCATTAGTCGCCAGTGGTTCTTCAAGGAGAAATATGATTTTAATTTGACAGTGATCCTTAAACACCTTTTCTTTCACTCCTGCTTGGCCTCAAATGTTTTTTTTGCTTCCTCACAAATCTGGATCTGTCCTTCTCCTCCTGTAAGCTGTGAGCCTTACCTTTGTGGGAGCGCTATCCTTTACCTCTCCCATTATCCATAAATTAAGCATAGCACTTTCCCCTAATCTTATTGTTTGGCGGGCTGCATTGCATTCAGGGAAATGATTAATATTCATGAGCTTGCTATCTCTGTTTGGTGCATAATCCTCTAGGGAAATTGCAGTGTTAAATGAGTGACACAAACCTAATTTTGTATGTCTTTTCTTTCCTTTCTTTCTTTTTTCTTTTTTTCCCCTTTCTGACAGAGAAGTAATGTGCTTAAAATAAATTGATGGATGACCATCCATATTCA